AAAAAAAGGTGGAGATAGTTTGAAATAGGTAGGAAAAAGCAGCCAATGGTATGGAGATTTGATGATCACTTCCTCTAGTATCAATTCAATCATGGTTCTGAGCTTTACTTTTTGCTTTTTTTAAGTCTTAGCACTAATATTACAGTTCATCTGTGTATTACTGTAAGAGAAAATATTTTCCTTCAATCTAGTGTGTTTTTACAAAAATTGGTATCTAAAAATTCCTCAGAATACTCCTAAATTACCACAAACTTGGTGGGTTGTTTTTTGTTTTTTTTTGAGATGGAGTCTTGCTCTGTCAGGCTGGAGTGCAGTGGCACGATCTCAGCTCACTGCAACCTCCGTCTCCCAGGTTCAAGCGATTCTGTCTCAGCCTCCTAAGTAGCTGGAACTACAGGTGCATGCCACCACGCATGGCCAATTTTTTGTATTTTTAGTAGAGACTGGGTTTCACCATATTGGTCAGGCTGGTCTCGAACTCCCGAGCTCAGACGATCCACCCACCTCGGCCTCCCAGAGTGCTGGGATTAGAGGCATGAGCCACTGTGCCCGGCCTAACTTGGTGGGTTTTAAAACAACAGAGTCATTTTCTCATAGTTTCGGAGTCCAGAAGTCTGAAATCAAGACGCCAGTCTCATGCCGTGCTCTTTCTCGAGGCCCAAGGGGAGAATCTTTTTTTTTAGATGGAGTCTCCTCTGTCGACCAGGCTGGAGTACAATGGTGCAGTCTCAGCTCACTGCAACCTCTGCTTCCTGGGTTCAAGCGATTCTCTCGCCTCAGCCTCCCGAGTAGCTGAGATTACAAGCACACACCACCACACCCGGCTAATTTTTGTATTTTTTAGCAGAAGTGGGGTTTTGCCATGTTGGCCAGGCTGGTCTCAAACTCCTGACCTCAGATGATCTGCCCACCTCGGCCTCCCAAAATGCTGGGATTACAGGCATGAGCAGCCGTGACTCGCCTATTATTATTTTTTTGAGACAGGGTCTTGCTCTGTTGCCCAGGTTGGAGTGCAGTGGCACAATCATAGGTCACAGCAGCCTCAAACTACTGGGCTCAAATGCTCCTCCTGTGCACCATCATGCCTGGCTAAGTCTTCAATTTTGTGCAGAGACCAGGTCTTGCTATATTGCCCAGGCTGATCTTGAACTCCTAGTGTCGTGCAATTTCTGCCTTGGCCTCCCAAAGTGCTGGGATTACAGGCACGAGCCACTGCGCCTGGCCAGTTTCTTTTCTTTTTTTTTTTTAAAAAATTGTGTCTGGGCGCGGTGGCTC